GTGAGAAAATACAATTTCTCCCCCTTTGACTGCAGGGACTTGAGCAGAGCCAGTAGGAGGCACCTTGGTCATTAACAGAAATGCCGTAGCAGAGAAAACATCCTCTGTTTATCAAAGAGGAAAGAGGTGAATTCTTGGGTTATACTGGCCAAAAATTGCAATCCACAGATAGGCCCTGAAATGAAATCAATCTGTGGAGCCCCTCCTCCCTAGGAAGAAAGGGTCGAGTCCATCCTTTGCCTTGATCCGAGCAAAGTCAGCGGTGTTCCCTCTGGGGCCGCAGGGCTCTCGGTGCTGCGGGTGGCGTACGGGGAGGTGTCTCAGCTCGGAGTCTTCTGCACGAACCCCATCCCCAAAGGAGTCCGCTTCGGCCCTTTTGAAGGCAAAGTGGTCAACACCAGCGAGATCAAGACTTACGACGACAACTCGCTGATGTGGGAGGTAGCGGAGGCACCGCCGGGCTCCCCCTGTACCCCTTAAACGGGGCCGGAGCGAGGCTTTCGGCCGCCCTTCTCCCGTAGCCTGCAAGAGGGGGTCGGCCCAGCGCGGGTGGTGGGGTTGGTGCGAGCGGGACGGGTGCGGGAAGGGTCGGTCAACCCTGACCCGGTCCTCCCTGCTCTCCAGATCTTCGAATACGGGCGCCTGAGCCACTTCATAGACGGGAAGGGCACCTCTGGCAACTGGATGTCCCTGGTGAACTGTGCCAGGTTCCCCGAGGAGCAGAATTTGACGGCTATCCAGTGCCAGGGGCAAATCTTCTACGAGAGCTGCAAGGAAATCTTGCCGAAGCAGGAGCTGTTGGTGTGGTATGGCGATTGCTACGTGCAGTTCCTGGGCATCCCCATCACCCTGAAAAGCTTGCCGGAGGGGAAGAGACCCCCGCAGCACCCCGAAGGTGAGCCTGCCAGCCACCCCTCGAGGGGCACTGCCCCTTGTTCCCACGGACCTGCTCCTGGCCGGGGACTAGATTCGCGTGGAGGGAGGTAAAGGAGCTCGGGCATCACCCTTTTCCCAGCTGTGCAGTACTTTGAACCCTTCTCAGTCCCCGCGATGAGCCGGTGGCGGGGTGACCGACCCTGCCGCGGGGGTGCTCTGGGGTGGCTGTGGCCCCGCAGCCCCCGTCCCACGGGTCTGCTCGCCCTCCCCTTCCCTTGCAGCCTCCGGCACCACAAAGCGGCAGCTTCCCCTCAGCACCGGGGAGGCCGGGGGTAGCCCCGCGGGCTGCTGCCTCCTGGGAGCGGGGAGCACCCCTTTCTGCCCCGCAGCTTGCTCCCGGCTCGCCTTTCCTCGGAAAGTTCAAACTGTTCGTCTGAGGCTGTAAAACGGCGGGTGGTGCTGGGCCGAGCTTAACTCCGCAGCGCCGTTGTTCGCGGGGGGAGGGTGGGGGTGGTGTGTCCCGTTCCGGGAGGAGAGGGACTTTAGGGGCCATTTCTGGTTTGGGTCCTGTTTTATCCTGCGATTGCACATACCTGACTTGATAACATTTTTCAGGCAATTAACACTCTCAGTAAATGGGGCGGGCTGAAGTCATTGCGACCCGATAATGCTGATACTGCTGGTGGAAGAAATGCCAAATGCACTTACTCCGGGAGTAGTTCTGATTATAATGTGCAGAAAATATGACGTGATCTTGCAAGCAAAACTTATGTATGGAGAAAACAGATTTATGCCAACGCAGGGAAAGCTGGAGCGAGTGAGGAGTGGGTGCCCGGATGCGGCAGTGAGGGGGGGAAGCAAATTGGCATGGAAATTTTTGTAGCTGTTGTCTTAAGGTCCCTGGTTCAGACAGCTGGTAAATTGTTCATCTCACTTTAAGGCTTAAGCCAAAGCTACTTTTATTAAAAACAGAAAAGGATGTGTAAACGTTTGAAAAATATGCTGTTTTTCCTAAATTCAGCTGTTAAGAACAGTTCGAAATACAAAAGAAAACCAAATAAACGTGCTTTTGTTCTTTAGTATTTTAAAAACGATAGAAAAGACGTGCAAATTAATTTTTCTTTTTGGGATGAGTGGTAAAGTTTACGATAATCTTCCTAATAAATAACTGGCTATGTTTCCGTGTGGGGAGACACTTCTATGTGGGACTGCGTTTCTTGCATTCGCTTGCTGTTGATGGGAGATACAAGGATGAAATCCTGCCTTTGCTGAAGTCAGTAGCTAAACCCCATGATTTTATCGGGCTGTGGACTCCAGTTTGTTTCCCTCCGTTAGAAAGGCAAGTGGAGTGGTGCGAACCTTTAAGAGATCCGACATGTATCTGTTAATTATATTGCCAGAATCCATTTACCACTGTTACCCTCCCGGTGATTTAAAGTTCCCGATTGGGTTCCGGCTCTGACAAGGAAGCAGATTTGAAATGAGCCCCTTTTACTGTGGTGTAACGCAGAGGTGGCACTTTCCCTTCTGCCGTACAGAAGCCGAGGAGAGCTTTAAGTGTGAGCGCTGCGGCAAGGTGTTTGCCTACAAGTACTACCGGGACAAGCACCTCAAGTACACTCGCTGCGTGGACCAGGGGGACCGCAAATTTCCTTGTCACCTTTGCAGCCGATCCTTTGAAAAAAGAGACAGGCTGAGGATCCATGTTCTCCACGTTCACGAAAAGCACAGACCTCACAAGGTGAGCCTGCTCTGCTCCTTGGTCTCTCTGACTCTTCTGGGAGGGGGCTAAAGACTTAAGTAATTTTTTGGCCGAGGTAAGAAGATGCTGATGTTGTTCCCCCTCCTCCAGTTACCCTGGCAGCTCTCTGGTGGGACCGCTCTGCCTGTACAGGAAGTTTGTCTTGTGCAGCAGAGCTTAGTTGAAGAAATGTAATGGTTTTATATTGGGAAAATTAACTCCACAGTCTCAGTGAAAGATTTCAAAAAGAAACTCTTTATTCTGGGTTTTTTTGGGTGTTGGCATGTGGATTTTGCTAGTTTTCTTACACAGTGCAGGGGTAAATAATATTTGAAGGGGGTCCATTTGCTCAGGATCAGGAGAGTTGATGCTTCATGTCTTTCCCCCACATCAGTCTGAGAACTGACAGACATCTGTGTCCTCTGGATGAAACAGGAGTTAAAAGCTTTACATTCAATGTGGAGTACATTTTCAACTGATGGAAGCAAATCTTTTCTGAGATGCTTTCCTCATCTTCACCAAATGCCTCTCTGTAGCATCAGTTTTCTCTAGGAGCACTGGGAGTGGAAAATCAGACTTTTCCTAAAGACTTGGGAAGGGCAAGTCCCAGTGTTTGAAATGGTACAGTTAAATCAATCCTGAAAATTTTTCAAATACAATTTATAGATCGTCCTGCAATAATGTGGATTTTTTAGGAAAAGCTTAGCAATATTTCAACGTCAGAATATTGCATTGGCTTAGTAACAGATGAAAAATATTATTCTATTAAATATGAGGTGTTAAAGATCATGTAATTTTCCTTTCCTTTCCTTTCCTTTCCTTTCCTTTCCTTTCCTTTCCTTTCCTTTCCTTTCCTTTCCTTTCCTTTCCTTTCCTTTCCTTTCCTTTCCTTTCCCTTTTCCCTGTTTCACTCCGAAGGAGAGGCATTTCTGACAAATCAATCTGTAGTCTTAAGTGCTGTGACTGACTCACATTTCTGAAAAAGTTACTATTCTAAGATGTCTCCTTAAGATATTTTTTAGGAAGTTTGTTAAAAATAGCAACTGGAGCTTGATTTACATTTTGAAGAAAATGGTGATTTTACATAAATTTTCAGATTTTTATTAACTAGAACTCAATATTCAGAACATGTTCGTGTTCTGAAGAAGGATGATTTTTAATTTAAAGTTTTAACCACACCTTTAATCACTTAATCACTATTTTAATGGATTTGAAATTTTGCATTATTTTCCTTTTTTTTTAAAAAAATAAAATTGTTCTTAAAACCAGATTAAAATTCTGACTGTATTTCAGATTGTTACTGCTAAAATTAAAACTGTGTTTGTATATACATAAATATATGTATATAGATATATATGCATATACATAAATATATATAGAAAAACACATGCACATGACATACCTAATTTTTATTTTTAGCTATGCTGTTGTGTGCTTCCTTTTAACTTTATCCCTTTATTGTTTGTTCCCAGTGCTCAGTGTGCGGGAAGAGCTTTTCTCAGTCCTCCAGCCTGAACAAACACATGAGGGTTCATTCTGGGGAGCGCCCCTACAAGTGTGTCTACTGCAACAAGGTAAGGCAAAGCCCTGTTCTGTACCCATGTCTGTCCTCTTCTGTTCTCAGCATCACACAGCACCTGGGGGGGTGGCTCTTTCCCTGCTCCATTTTCTTTATTTTTTTTGTCTCTATCTGATGTGGAATTTGTGTTTCATCCCAGCTCAGAGAGCTGCTGTGGGGATAAGGTTTAGGAAACCTTGAGTATTTCAAATACCATCCAATGCAGCTGGATTCAATATTCCCCTTTTTCATCAGATAGGTAATTTTTTGTATTACAGACACTGCTTCTGGAGTGCACTGAACAGATTTCACCCATAAGCAGAAGCTGCACGGTATGACTTCGTGCATTTTTACCTTGAAGTAACAGGGCCATAGATGTGCAACTAGGTGTGGAGGTTTCATTTGAAAAAGAAGGTAAATAGGCCCATACAGCACTGATCAAAATGTGCTCAGCTGTTAACTACCCTTAACAGCAGGGATTTTTCAGGTGAGCTCTCCTAGTGAGAGCAGTGACAGCTCTCCCAGCAGATGGAGGGTGGATGTACAGGCTGCTGCTGGATGAATATCTGCAGGGCTCCAGGTGCTGTGGAGTGTCCATGCAATGCAAAAACACTGTCAGCATATCTATTAAGGTGCTCCTGATTTTGGAAAGAGAGGTTTTGTTTATGACTGGCTGGACTAACACAGAGCTGAAGTGTCCTGTAGTAAAAAACCTTAGAAGAAACTCCTTTTGGCTATTTTTTTTTTTCTCCCAGACATCCTGAACACTTGTAGAGTTTAGGATGAAATGTCATTCCTTCAGTCTTCTGATCACAGAAAAAGGTGGCAGAGCTTGACAGGTTACTCTGTCAACAGATCTCTAGGGTGCATGGGACCCTTGACAGCCCCCAGTCATTCTGGTAGGACTGTTACAGATTGGATCATATTAAACCATGAGTCTTCAGGCTGCAGGATGCAGCTATCCTGGGACATCATTTCTGTGTCTGGGAAATCAGGGGCAATTTTAAATCATTTTCATCTGCTCCTCCTATACAGTCATGATTCCTCTTTATCTCTTCTACCTCTAATGGTGGCTGTGCTCTAGGGCAGCTTTGCTTTCCCTTCCTCTTTGCTCTCACTATCGTGAGATTAAACGAAAAGTTTTAGGCCAAGATCACCATTTTGGTCCTCTTAATATGCACCTCCAGGGACTTTGCTGTAGGAATCTCAGATCTGTTTGTGCTCTTAATATTCCTAGTGAACAGGTATTTGAGAAGTATTTTGCAGTGAAAACTTACTTGTGATGCTTCAACAACATAGCGGTACTAAAGAGGATTTATTTTGTGTCATAAGCAAATGGTGAAGGGCCTGAAAGTGTCTTCTGGGAAAAGAAAAAATGGGGAAAACAAGGGCAACTTTGCAACATTCCTGCTCAAGTCTTGGTGAGAGGGTTTCTCCCTAAGTGAAGGGGAAGCATTTACAAGGGGGACAGAGTTTGCTGCTCAAGTGTGTGGCGGGGGGAATGAGCTGGAAGGTTTGACTGAAGGAAGAACAGAGTATGATGGAGAGGGAAAAATGAAACCCCCAAAGAAGGATGCTGAATTCTATGGATGAATTCTGGCAGCTGAATGCCAAGTGTATGTAAACATGAAAGGGTTTAACTTTGAAAGGAAAACCTGCCTTATGTTTCCCAAACATAAAGGAGCTGCAAAGTTAATTAGGGCAGTATTGACTTCTTATCCTTTGACATGTAGAAGATATTTACTGGTGTCTCTGGTCAGAAATCTTTCTCTGAGCTTCATCTAACTCCACGGACTCAGCCACATCTGTATAGCACTAGCTGTTGACTTCTGGTTCCTTGTTGCTGGGAGTTTTTGTTTTTTTCTCCAATTGTCTGAGGATGTGAGCTATCTGAGGACTTAATTTCAGAGTACAGTGCTTCTGACAGGGTCTGGGTTAGCAGAAATTGGGCAATTATATATGTGAAAACAGAGTACTTTAAACCCTCTTCTCCCCCCTTTCTGATCCCTGATCTTTCAGGCATTCACGGCATCCAGCATCCTGCGCACTCACATCCGCCAGCACTCGGGGGAGAAGCCCTTCAAGTGCAAGCACTGCGGCAAAGCCTTTGCCTCTCACGCAGCCCATGACAGCCACGTGCGGCGCACGCACAGCAAGGAGAAGGGCTGCACTTGCTCGGTGTGTGGCCAGCACTTCCCAGAGCAGGAGGATTACCACTTCCACATGAAGATTCACACCGTTCATTAGTCAAGAGCCGTGCAGACATGTTCTGGACTAGCTCACGTGTGTGACAGTCTATGTGCACGTACTTGTGCGTGGTTATGTGCATACTGCAGGAGGTGACACTGATCCTCGCAGTGACTCTGGGTATATCCAGTCTCTGGCATATTTCTGAGTGCAGGGGACAGGATTTTATCTCACCTGGGTACCCTGATGTCACACTGGGGTGAAGTCCAATATGCGCTATCCCACTTTTCTTTCTCTCCTCTCATACTCTTTAATTTCCACAAAAGGGAAACACAGGCAGGAGGCAATTTGACCTCCCATGAACCTTTTGTGCATGAACATAACTGTTGAGGAGTGTGTCCGTGCCTCTAAAGCACTGCCTAGTGTAGTCCCTGTCAAAGTTTGTGTGAGGGGCATTTTATCAAGTGCATTTCCCAAAGTTGATATAACCTATTTTGTTTGGGTGCATGACCAGTTATAGGGTCTACTTCCCCTTAATGTGCAAGTCTTTTAATGGTGCTCTCTCTAAATGTGAACTGCCTCAGAGATACTGACTGCTGGACCAGCATAGGGGCATTTAATTCCTTCATTCAGATGCTGGGACTCAGGGAGCTCCAGGACACTGAGACCAACTTCCAGAGAATGCTGGACACGAGTCAGCCTAGCAGGAGAGAGGCAGGGTGAGACAAGATAGCTGCAGGCCTCTTGTGCCAGCTAGCAGAGATATTGGAGGATGACTCTGCCTTCTCACAGTTTAGAGGACCAAATGTGAAGGTGTTCCCAAGCACCAGTCAGCTCTTAGGTGGGTTGTTAAAAGTCAAGTGGCCTCATAGAGGCATTGAACTGTGGGCTCAGCACAGGCCAGGAGCAGACATGATCCCACCACTGGGTTCTTCTGTCCTGTAACCATCTCTTGTCTATAAATTTGCCACTACTGGGAGTCCTGGCCAGGCAGGCCTTTGCAGTGAGTCCTGACTTGAAGGCTGCTTCCTCCTGCTGGCTCTATTGTAGGATGGCTGCTGTAGTGTCACTCCTGAATGCTTTTAAAAATGAACCATATACTAGTTCTCAAGGCACAAAGGTTTCAAAATCAGCTCTGTAAAACCTCTGTTTGGGAAGGGAGAAAACCTCCTCCTACCCTAAATTTAAGATTTAAGGTGTAGGATATAGACAATGCCAGGACTGTCATAAGTGCATATTACAATGGATAAAATAATTTCAGTGTAAAATCCTAGGTGATTTGACACTGATTTTTTGCAAAGTATTTTCAAAACTATAAAGAACCTTAATGAACAGCGGTCTCTGGCAACGTTAAAGAAATATCATCTCAGTGGAGGCTTAGCAAAAAGTCTGTGCTGAAGGAGCATGGTATAGGGAGTGCTGTAACTGGTGCAGAAGCCTCCTACCACTGAGTGGCCACCGCCATGGGCAGGGCTGTGTGAGGGAGAGTAGCCCTGTGTCTCTGGGACTGTGTATTGTGTCCAGGAAGGATAGTGGAAGCCCTTGCTGGAGCTGCTTGATTAACACAGACGGGTTGATGTTACTGGGATCATGAAGTTCTCTTAATATCCTATGTCAGCTAGGATTGACAAGGACTTTGCACATAAGTATTGGAGATTAAAGTTTTTATTTTGTGCCAACCTTAACAATCTCTTTATGCATAGAGCTAGAAAAATGTTACCTGAACATTTAATTATGTCATGCAGATACTGTGTAAATATCTATATTGATTTGCACTAATTTTAAATGGTTTATTGTACCTTAAGTTGTTCTGTCCTCATTGTTTTCATGGTAAAAATACTAAAAATAAATTTATAAAACTGCCTACTTGTAAGTAAAATATTGAGGCCCAGCACTAGGCAGTATCTGAAAAAAACAAGCCATTACTATTCTGCAAGAATGTATGTAGGTTTTAGGGTAGAATGAAGATCGCATTTTGTTAATTTTTTTTATTATCAAAGATTCCCACAATACAGCAGGCTGAGTTTTGTACATATTGAGGGCTGAACAGGTGAGCTCCAAATAGGTAAAATTCACTCCCGAGCAGAAAATTTATCACACCATTTATGTCTACAAACCATGCTGAAGTACAGGTCCGGGAACTGAATGTTAGTTCCAGCTGCCTATCCAAATGGAGGTGTTTTCCCCAAGCGTAGAGAATCCTGGCTAAAAGAAATGTGAAATCTGTGTGAAGGCTTTGCTGGTTTGGTCCCATAAATAACTATTTTAAGTGCTGCATCTTCCATATAGTGCTTTTAGCTGTGCATTTTCTTCTGCTTGAAGAACCCCCAAATATCTTGTACTAAAATATCAGCACCCTTGTACAGCTGTGTGTGATGAGTTGTCTGTAAAAGAGTATGTGAAGGGTTTCACTTGTGCTTGTGATTGAAGGTACTGGTTGTCTTGCACATTAAACCTGTATATATAAGTGATGATAATTAAGATTCTTACAACAAAATTCGTAGAAAGGATGAAAATAATTTATTGGAGGCTGCACTGTACTCTAAAGGGCTATAGGTTGTTTTCTGCCTGGTATGTTGGAGTTGTGTATTTGAGAAACTACTAAATGGATGAAGGGTCTGTTCTGTGTCATTTGTAAGTCTACAGAGTCAAACTGTCTCTTGCTGAGAATTGTATCCCTTGTCCTGCTGGGTAGCAGCTGACTGCATTAGAAGTCAAAGGCACCCAGTGTCTTGATGGATTAGCCCTTAAAGTGTCCCAATACCTCATGGAAGATGAGGCTATTCAGGTCTGAACTGAGTTTACTCCTACTTGCAAGCAAGATGATGGATCCGGATTGAGCACTAAAAGGCATTTAACTACCCTATAGCATTTAACTGCCCTGTAACATTGTCCTCTCCCTTCTGAATAGGGAGTCCCAGCTGTGCTGGAGCTGGGGGGCAGCGGGGGTGGCAGTTGGCCACAGCACGCTTCACAGCAGGGTGGGGAGAAATAAAGCGGTGGGGAGCAGGAGGGAGAGGGCAGGCTGAGCTGCCCTGCCAGCCCGCAGCAAATTTCCTTCTGCAAGGAGAATGCAGTGACTGTCTGCAAACATTGCACCGGTCAGGGTTTAGGAGAGATTTTATTTAGATTAGGAAATGCCCCTGTAGCATACGTGTTCCCCAAGTGCACCCAATGAGCTGAGGTTTTCGTTCCCGGGGATTTGCACATTTATGTGCACCTGTGGCCCTTCTGCCTGCAGCCTGATGAATCAGCAGCTCTGGCCAGCTCAACCAGGAGCGGGGTTTCTGTATTTACACACACAGATCAGAACTGGAGAGAGGGAAGGAGTATGCGTGCACAATGTGCTTTTTCGTCTGGCAGGTTCCCAGTGCAGAAAGCCACGTGCATGGAGAAGGCTGTACTGCAAGTTTGACTGAAGGGAGAATATTTGTGATTAAGCCAATGGTAAAGGTTCAGTCCTTTTGCTGGGAAGTCCCAGCTACTAGGTCGCTCCTGAGCAGACACCACGGTACTCTCCTGCTGGCCATTTCTGATCTGAGGCTGCTGAAAGCAGGGCATCCCTGCAGATCTCCGAGGGATCTGGCTGTGGTTTTGCATGCTGTACTACATCCAACTCTCCCATCACATCATCAAATATGGGACAGAAGTGACATTTTCCATGACAGTGACTATAGTAATACACTGTGCAATAGTTACCCATGTTTCTCACTCAGTTTGGCTTAAACTGGCTCTAGTATGGTTTCCCTGGATCTGACATGTGCACCCTGGCTCTTCTTTCTCCTAACTAGAATTAAAAATGGTCCTGCCAAGGGGAACAGCAAGTTAAGTCATTAGGATGAGTCAACCATGGAAGACACTAGCTGATTTTAAGTGCTTTGCATTAACTGTGTCAGGGTTTTTTAAATGTTAAATGTAAAGTGATCTAAATAGAAACCAGAGGATGAGGGCAATCATCTTGGCTGTTTTGTTGGAGCTGTGGAGGGAGAGAGATGAGCAGTGTGTGAGGCTAACTCCTGAAAAGCCCCTTCTTGGTGAATGACAATGGCGAGACAAAAACAAAAAGGAGGTCCCAGAGCTCAGACTGGCAAGTTCGAGGGAATAAAAGGTCTGGCCACCGACATCTGCTGCCTCCAACATCTCCCTGCATGTCCCTGCTTTTCAAATGCCTGGTCCCCATCCCCCTGCTGCCCTGGCCCCTGTCCCGCTGTGCTCCCCAGGGGACTTGGGGGAAAAGGGAGGTGGTTAACCACTGAGGGAAGGCAAAAAGCAGCAAGAAACTTAGTGAATTGAAGATTATGCCACAAAGAAATATTGATTAGTGCCAAACTGCCCATTAAATAAGAAAGATCATTCACCAAGGGAGCCTTGACTGGCTGTCCTCTCCACAAAGCTGTTTCTCAGGGTCCCCAGTGTCCTACGTGCCTCTACAGCAAGCACTGGGGTTTGTTTGACCCCTACAATCACTGTCACCTTCGTTTCCCTTTCTCTCTTCACACATGCATCCCCTTGCACCTTCTCCCTTCTGTCTCTCCTTAATGTATGTAGTGCAGGGCTTCGGGCACACAAGGGATGTTGGGAGACTCTGGCTTTGCACTCTGCTTTCCTTCTTTTTTGATGTCATATAAAACGTTTAGATTTTCAGTGGAACCAGCACTGGTGTTTGACACAAGCTTTGAAAAGGCTTAATCTCCACCAGTGAAGGCCTTTTCTGAAAAGCCAGTTCCTCAAAGGTGCCTGGAGTTGGGTGTTGGCAACTGGGGATATGCAGGAGCACCAGAGGAGAGTGTCACAGCACCTCTGCATGTCCTACAGTGGGACCTGAGGGGCTCTACTCCATCCCCGCTGGTCACTCTGCCATCTCCATCCCCGCCAGTCACTCTGAAGCAGCTCTTGCTGTAGGGACTGTCCTGGAAACCCCAGCTTAACTGCATTGCAGCAGTAGCCAACCAGGCTTAAATTCACAGGACTAACCTCTGGCTAGCCCAGAAATGTAGTAGTGTAGAGAGCACTGTTGCATACCTCAGTGTGAGAATGTCATACAGTCCTGTAAACTATGG